ATGTTACATACTAACTAGATACGTTTGTCTTTTCTATGTCATGGATCAAACGTAGTTATGCAAATTATTGACAACAATGATATCAAATATTTTGTTAGTATTGCTACTAATATGCCTCTAAATACAATATAGTTGTTTGTTTTTAATCAGGTTGTAGAGAGTGTTGTTAATCGATTCACTAAGGAAACATGTTCTAGTGGCAATGGGTCTTCTGATGCCAATACTAACGAGATATGTACTTTATTACTTATATTGTTGACTCATATAGACACACGGTATACAGAAGAAGTTCCTTACTATAAGCATATACATGGCGGTGGATGTCAAGCATAAGGGTATGTAAATTTCTCATGATAGTCTTTCATATGATACTAATAAATCAGAAAATGATCAGAAAATTTGATGATGTTTGTTGAAGATTGTCACATACTTCTACATGACAAACCTATGGAAAAGTTCAACAATTTGTTAAATTATGATGATATTGAATACGATGACATAGAAAATAAGTACCGATAACTCTAAAAGGATAATTTCGTATTTTATTTTTTGGATTCTGAAGCAACTGAAACCACTCAGTGTGGAATGTTTGATTAGATTCCATTGTATGAGTTCTCAGCCTAAAAACAAAAGGTTTCAATAGGCCACAATCATGTCATCGCATATTGTAACGTCCCCAAAAACATAGAGTAATTTTCGTTTTTGAATAACATAAAATCATTCATTTCATTCCATCAAAAGATCATCAAAGTAATAAGTTATAGTTTAAAACAACATAAGAGTGAAAATCATAAAAACAGATAGTGCAGAAACCCTAATGGATGCAATGCAATAAATTTTGGCTCTTCCCTTTCCTACAAGAAGTACCTGAAACATTTAAACTTAAAACCATAAGCATAATGCTTAGTGAGTTTCCCAAAATACTACATACAACATACATAAAATGGGCCTCGCTCAATCTGCATAACGGTCGCCGCCCAAATAATATAATGGACCCCGCCTAACATATATGCAAGAGTCACAAAGATAGTCTAACATCCTAAACAGTATAGCAAGAAAACTCACCTCACAATCAAAGTAGGCTAACACTATAGATCGCGAGACCTTAAGGTTGATACTACACACCACCTAACATTAATAAAAATGTCAAACTTTTGTCCAGTATCTAAAAGTATCTAGTTGACCAAAAGTCAACTTGGTCAAAAAGTCAACGGTCTACAGTCAAAGTCAACTCTACAGACCACCACGCCGTGACAAGACCATGGACACGCTGTAGTCTTGGTCAAGATAGAAAATGTGATGGATCTGCACACCACGTCGTGGTCAGCACTCGACCACCTCATGGTGATGCTGGTAGATCCAACCTCTTGCTAAGCTCTTAATTCGTTAAGTCCTCCAGTAATACTTTCCAAAAGGCTTTATGTCACCCTAATTGTCCATAAAAATCGTAACTTGATGGACATGCATGTCCAATAAACGTCCCTCCCAAAACTAGGTTAAATTGGTGAGAAATAGGGTCAAAACCCCATGCAAGGCATCAAAATATCATGAGAGTCCATATCTAAAACGCATGATACTCTTGGGACCTATGAAATTCATAAAGTTACAAACTTTATTCTCATCTCTCACTCAAAACTCAACAAATGAACTAACTAGCCTAACACTTTAAGTCTCAAAATGAAAGAACCACCAAGATCTGGTTGAAAGAGACTTACAATGGTCCATAGAGTGCACCAAAAGGTTGTGATGAATTTGCTTGATGCTTCTTTGCTTCCCAAAGCTCTTCTCCTTCCTTAAAATGGGTGAAACAACCCAACAATGGCGCAAAAATGGTGAGAAATGAACTAGGTTTTGGATAGGTGTTCTTCTGGTGGTGATGGACGCTGAAGATGGTTAAAACCCTTGCCCCCATATCCATTATATAAGGCCCAAAGACCGAAACTTAGGGTTTTGTGCACATTACAGCGTCGTGTCGTGGTAATCCACTCACCGCACTGTAGAAATGAAGTTTCTCAAAATTCAAGTCTTATAAATATAAAAGATCTTCAAAGAATAATACGTGGAATATGGATGTTACAACATATCATGATATTTTAATTGTACAAAAATAAAGAACATATTAAGCTAACATTAGGAATGAAATGTGTTGAGGAATGATTTCAAATTAAGATAAGCAAATCTACAAAAGACACTTTTAAAAGTTAGTTTTGTTAAAGATTGTAAAAGACGCGTAAGAACTACAAATATAAGATTACAAAAACCTTTTAACTTCATACATTTGTACATAAGCAAACTTGCTCAAACACAGTTGCATCCCAATCATCTACAAGCCAACCAGAAAGTTTTGTATCCACATCTTAAAGAAGATATTGGTTGATAGTACAGGAAACATGTAGAGGGGAGAGCAGAGTCAGTGAACACTAAATGATCGATTTAGTGTTCATATGTTTCATGCGGGAAATCATGACAAACAAAATTGTATGCTCTAAGATCTGTTAAGGGGATTTCCTTAAGAAAGATTTCAAATTTCTACTTATATATTGTGACAATTTAGAAATGAAGAATGCATAGACCGGTGACAATCATTGATTTGCATATTTCTTTGTTGCTATTTATTATGTGGTAATATCATTTCGGAAACATTATTTTTATTCGTTGTTAAATTTTGTGATATGATCACTTATTTATAATTTTGTAGATTCGAGCTTTTAAAAGTTGATGACATCCTGTTATCGTAATTTATGGTGCCCAACTGAAAGAAAATAGTAAGGAGATATGTTTCCGGTGGTGTACATGGACGGAAACAACCAAATCCCACAACTTTCCTTTGAAGTCAGAAAGATAGAAAATTATGGATATTGTTTTTATCGAGGCTAAAGGAATATGCTGGAGGTATAAACCATTTAGTCATCATATATGATATGTCTATTTCCATTGACATAGTTATCCAAGTTTTGTTCCCAAATACATATGACATACTATATTGTTGACGTTTGTTGATGAATATGTGAATAGGGATCAGAAAAAATGAGAACAAAGTTCTGTTATGCGATGCAAAGCTTACAAAGAGTCCAATTTTAAAGATAGTTTGGCTAGGCTACAATGTTCACTTATTGATGAGTGTCGTACATGACTAGACATGATTGGTTACAAAAAATGGAAAATGTGTGTGTGCATATAGTTCTTTATAATATAATATCTAACAATGGGGAGTCCATTAATGTGTTATCAAGAGACACACATAAACTACCAATAATAATTTCCATTGACTTTTCATTGCACAATGCAACAATCGTATTGTCAACGACGTAATGTGGGAGGTAACTAAATTACATATGTATACTAGTATACCTTTTCCTTATTTGACTGTTGGACCCATGAAAATAGTAAGAACATGAAATTGAACTTATAAAAATGATGTACACAAAGAGATGAGTAATATGTTGTTCAATAGATAGATGTAAAATGTTGAACCGAAGAACTCTTGGGGTGGGAGAGATTCCCCACCCATTCTCTCTAACTAGAACAAGACTAGATTTTTGATGCACACATAGGCTGATCATCCTTTCTATTTATAAAGAGGGGGAATCTTCTAAAAAATAAAGAGAATATTCCAACCTAACTATTATTCAATATTATAGAGCATTTTTGTGCTCTAACATTGACATTGCATAACAATTTCTTGTTTTTCATATTTAGCGGAGACTCCATACGTTGAGAAGGTTCTTGAAATGAGGATTCATAAGTATGCAACATGGAGGGTATAGAAGATCGGTGCAAACAACTATCAAGTTATTGATCACAAGAAAGATGGTATAGTCGGCGAAGCATGCACATGTGAGAAATTGCAAGTGAACCGGATGAAGTGATGTAGGTTTACTATCGTTGATGAATAAACGTCACTAAAAGTGAAAGATGTTCTTGAAATGCGATTTAGTGAAAGATGTTCTTGAAAGGTGGATTCATAAGTCCGCAACATGGAGGGTATACGAGATCGATACAAACAACTATCAAGTGACAGACCACAAGAAAGATTTTGTAGTTGCCGATGACATGTACATGTTGTGAGAAATGATGATTACACCGGATGAAGTGATGCAAGTTTACTAGACAGATGCCACTAAAAATGAAAGCTCATTCGCTCCTAACTAGAATGCATCCTGCACCTATATCATGCCACTTCACATTCAAATCTAGTTATACTCATGCATGTGGGTATAACCTTTCCTTAACCTTCATCAATTCCTTCAAAAGTGAAGGAAAAGAAAAGATATATAAACTCACTATTGTTTCTTCCAATCACATTTGTGGAACAGAAAAATTACCAACTTTCAATTTTATTTTTTTAAAATTCCAACATTAACATGTTAAATTTCGATATTTATTATAATATTATAGTCGAAAAATAAATAATATCTTTCTTACTTATGGCCTAGCTAAATTTTGCAATAATTTGATCTGTTTGCGTTTAAAAGTAGTTTTAATTTTTAACTAATTAACAATTAAATATCAGTCATTAGAGAGGCGGTTACCGTTATGCCCAACGTATCGAAGACGTAGGAAGATCACATTCATCATCTAAAAAACAGATTTTGCTTTTCCCGTATCCCCAAAATTTTAAACGAATAACACTGATATTATAACTTGAACGTATGCAACAAAATTATACATTAAAATGTATGTAATGATTTCATCTCTATGAGAAGTGGCTAGATCAGTTTGTGAAATCCACAAGAAAATTTCAAATGCTATTACTATTACTCATGAAAAGCATAAAACCCAACATACCCTTTCTATATACAAATCATTTTACAGCTTTCTTGAATTGAGAGAGAGAGAAGAATGAGACAGAGTCTCAAAGAAAGTGAAAGGAGTCATTCATATTGCTCTAAAGTAGAGATGCAATCTTCCATGGCAGTAAACTATCTCACTTTTCATATTATTAAATTTGACCGACGGCTCTTCAAATCACATATTAAGTAAACATAACACAACTTAAATAATGTAATAATAGTTCATATTCATAATTTGGATTAGTGTCCACAAATTTTATACAATAACTATTGATAGTTTACTCTGTTTTTTAATATTTAATCAACGGAGGGGTTGAAACTTAGAATTCTAGCAAAACATTAGGATAATTAATCACTAGACTATGACATCAGTATTGATGTTGTGTTTGTTAATTTTGGCATTTTGGAGTTGATAAAACAAGACTTGGTTTTCTTGATGGAGAAGAAGTGCTTTTCTTCTAAGCTTCTCGTTCTCTTCAATTATGCATTGGTTTTGCATGTACAACTTCAAGTTCTTCATTGCCATCTTCCTTTTCAGCATTACAAACAAGACCCTTGTTTTGTTTCGTGAATTCGCCATACCCATAACTCTTTTCCTGTTACATTAAACAAAAGAATATCACTAACCACCTATCATGAACGTTGAATATGACCTCAAAGTATCAACATATGGAATCAAAATTATGCTCGATTTGCTTGAGTAAATGATGCACATAGAGTGAGGTAAGAACCTTTGTAGATGGTGGAAGTGAAAGCTTGATGATCTCTTGAGTTGTTCTTGGTGAGTTGTGAGATATGAAAGACGATGTATGTTTTCTTTGGGGGTGCCAAGACACATCTTCTATTCACCTCCTGATTCCAATACGTGTGTGAGAAGAGAGTGAAAGATTTGGAAATTCCCGAGAAAATGAGAAAACAAGTAGTGACATATATATAGGGCACATGGGCCATGGTAATTTATTTGTGTGTATGAACGAGGGGTAAATTAGGAATTCCAAAAAATAACGCTAATTCTATATCACTCATCACACATTTACATGTTTGACCACCACTTCTCTTGGACCAACCTAAAACATAATGATGAAAAGAAGACTCATAATTACAAGGACCAAATGATAAAGAGGATTATCCTCCCTCCTATTCTCATCTTTACAAGTTGTAGTAAAAAGAGAGAAAATGTAACACTCAATCACACAAAATAGAGTGTTCTTATTTGTACTTTTAGCCTTTCCTGATCAAAGTTTTCAATCCAAAGACTAAAAGACATGTAGTGGGACCCAAATAAAGATATACCCTTTTTAATATGGTTGATTTTTCAATCTAAAACAACGTTATGGATGAATTTGGAATCTAGAACAGTAATGTTATGGTAACTTGTACTTCATACACTAAAAGTTGCATATTGCTTTGAATTTGTGAATTTTAACTCTATGTAAATAAGCCTAACCCAATATTGCACTTTCTCTTTTTATACCTTTATTCATGTTTTGGATCCTAAAACCTTCCCTTTTTGTTCTTTAGTTACCATGAACAATCATGATGAGGGTTTCATTTTAGTCTTGTGTACTCAATTAGATGAAATCATGATGGTAGCTAAAGACAGCTCATCTCATTGTTGAATTCAAACTTGGGATGCTTGTTTATTAGTTACTTGGTGACCAAATTGTAGAATATGCCTAACTTATAAAAAGGGTTATCTTTTGTCTTTTCAAACAAAATAAAATGACTTACATGTAACATAAAGACAATGCAATAAACAATTGAAAATTACATACATTATATGGGGTAAAACGGTAATTTAATCTTGAAAATAAATTTGTAACATGATTAACATTTATGTCATTGTAGTTGAAACAAAAACAAAATTGCAAGGATTTGTAGGCATGTGAGTCATAAATAGAACAATAGTTAGAGCACCTGGTTGGGGATGTGGTTGGGGGAGTCAATGAGGTTAGGTTTCTACTTTTGTCCCCTTTGTACATGTAATCGAGTACCCATGGCCTATTCTCAATTTCTCATTCAATTGGAAAATGAAATCTTTTTTGGCTTCATCTCAAAGCTAAATTTATAGTAATGATTATGATGATGGTGGTGTAAGTTAGCATTTTGTGTACCTTCCTATAATCCATTTCACACGGTTTTCGTAATCATCTCATTAAATAATAAAACAAATATGACTGGTTTTTCCAACTTATATATTTATGAACATTCTCAATCTTCTTATTCAAAAGTGGATACTATTTGTGAGATTGGGGTCTTCATAGATGAAATTTACGTGTTATCTCCCTGAATACAAATAAATATTGGAAGTAACAAACTAACAAACTATAAGAGTGTACAAAGGCTTAGTTGACTTTTTCAACTTACATTAGAATCTTGATGTGCATTTGTATTTATCATGTAAATAATATCCAAGACAAATAAGACCTCTAGAGTCGTCGAGTAACAACATAGATGGAATTGCTATGCTACTCACCGTTAGGATCAATTAAAAAAATAGGAAAAAAGAGGGACTGCTTAATTGTCTTTTCAAGTCGTATAAAAATCTTGATGAATGCTTTCGTTTTTTGTGATATAATTAACTAATTCGTATGAGTTAAATATTTATCCTGTAAACAATATTATAAACAAAAAAAAAATGGTCGACCAACAATATAGAAGAAGTTATTATACTCCCCCATAATCTAATACAAAAGATATCTAAAACCAATGGTTTAAAAACCGGTTGGACCGGAACAAAATAAAATAAAATAAAATAAAATAATAACTAGCATCAGTTTATGCTTATTTTAGACCGGCCGGTTTTTACAAAAATTAGGTTGAACCTCTTAAATTGAACCGGTAAAACTCGGTTGAACCGGTTAAATTGAATAAAAACACTTGTAAATGAGACATTTTGCATAACAAGTTTTAGTGGTCTTTTTCACATTTATTTATTTATTTATTTTGGAACGGCTTAAACGCACACATTACTTAACTCCTAAATTTACACATTTCGTCTACAATGAGACTTGAACCCTCAACATTGGTTGACGGGCACCTATCCGTCAACTCACAATACGGGTAGACCAAAAATCATGTGGTCTTTTTCACATCTATTTAGGCTTCTTTTATTATTGTGAACATCTTTTGTTTGATAACCAGGAGTTCAAGATCCATCATTTGCAATTGTCAGAAAACTCTTTGAATATGAGATAATCAAATACTAACATTTGACTTGATTTATAATGTTTATATTGACCAAGTTGTATCATAGACTCTCAAAATGACAAATAATCATTTCGAATGGATCTTTGATAAGTTTTTCTCTATAACTTAAACGGTGTAATTTTGTTACTAAAAAATGGTAAGGGTTATGAAGCTTTTTGATGAGTTTGTATTCATCTAAAGTTATGTTTGTTTTGTTTAGGTATTATACTTTATGTTTATTTTTGGGTAAATTACATGAATGGTCCTTGTGGTTTGGGATAATTTGCGCGTTTGGTCCTAACAATTTTTTTTTAACTCGGACCGTCTCTATTATATGTTTTTGTTGCACGTTTGGTCCCTACCACCCCTAAAAAGACTGTTTTGCCCTTAATAGATTATGCTTTATAACTAAGATTATTTTTTAATAATAATTTCTTATTGTTCTTATTATTATTATTATTATTATTATTATTATTATTATTAAAAATTGATAAAAGATATATGATCCACCTTCTCCTCGTCCAACCCACCCCCTATCATTCACCTTCTTCGTCAGGTTCTCCACCACCAACCCCTTTGTCTTCTTCAGTAAGACCGCTAGCAAACTATCACCAACCCTTTTGTCTGAAGCAAATCGCCGGAAAATCAAGGCAAGAACCAAGTCTTAAGCAAATTACCCCTAAATCTGAATCAAATTAGAAAAGCAGACTGGAAAATTGGAAAATTAACCACCATGAACCAAACCTTAAGAAAACCAAACCAAAAACAACATTTGAAGAAGACACCAGGGAAAGAAACCAACAAATTTGAAGCAAATTCAATCAAGGGTTAATGTCACTGCAACCCAACCAATTATTCGGTTTTGGTTTAAAAGGTCCCTAATGTATTTTTTTGGTGGTCTAGGTCATTAAACTTATATGTGACCTGTTAATTATACCAACAATCTATTTTTACCCGATTTTACCGGTTACACCCACAAATTGAAGCTCATTTTCCTTGTAAATCTCTAATATGAAATCCTTAAGTATCTGAGCTATTGTTATCGTCGTTGACATGGTTGTTGAAACTTTCCATGTTTTATTCTAAATTTTGATGTTGTATGATGCTACATGCTATCTACCTTCAACCATCGGCTTCACCATCCACTGTCATACACCATCACCACCTGTCGAAAATTCATCACTGGAAATACCATCCAACCACATACACCACCATTCAAGCTTTCTTCGACAACCACCTGCTCCAGTCGAATCTCCACAGTGAAACACAGCCTACCGAACACCATCTCCCGACACACCTGCAAACTCAGCCATCTTAATATCACAAACTCCACCATTTTAACCATCAACTACATTTCCTCCTTACACCATCGAGCTTTATACCACCGGGGAAATACCGAGAACAGCTCGAAATCCATCGATGAGGAGACGAGAGCCACCGATGAGGAGACGAGAGCTATTTGCACCTTTTATCCTCCACACAATCCCTACAATTTAATGCTTCTCAAGTTGTTACTGTTGCAACCTTCTCCTCTAATTTCACCGATACAATCCAAGTCAATGTTGAATAATACTTTAATGGAGCCACACCCACTCACATGAATATCTTAAAGATGATCCAAACAAACAACTTTTTATAACTTTTAATTGAAAATATTATTTGAACCGTAGCATCATAAACCATATTTACATGTTCCTTCAAAAAAAATTTAAATGCTTCCAGATTATTCCTAGGATAAATGCTTGTGATATTTGGAATTATTTCAAGTTCCGACTCCACGAGTTGTAATAGCTCCATTTTGTTGACATTTTGGCACAAACCCGATAGCTTTGGTAGCCTACACAAAGATAAAAACTTCATCTTTATGAACGTTATTGTCTCTTTTCCAACATTTTCAGTAAAGATGAAGAGTTCTGCTACTTCTCGCAGTTATTATCTTTCATGATAATATATCGTTTATGTATATTCCTATGACTAAGTCGAGTTCCATCAGAAATCACATATACAACTCTTCAAGGTTGGCCAAATTTTTCTCTGACACCTTGTGATGGTAAGGGGGCCGAGGAAAACATGTTCATGACTGGGGGATGTTAACGGTGGTTTGCAGGTGCATAAAAAGGTGGCTAATATGATATAAGGGTGGCGGTTCTCGGTAGCTACAGTGAAGCCGATGGTGAGGGATGTTTCTGGTAGAGGTTGTAGTTGCTAGACTTTGCACGGAGATAATAGTGTTCGGCATGTTGTGTTTCACTGTGCAGATTCGGATGGACCAGGTGGTTATCGAAGGAAGCTTGAATGGTGGTGTAAGGTGGTTGGATGGTATTTCCAGTGAGATTTACAAGGAAAAGGAGCTTCAATTCGTGGGTGTAACCGGTAAAACCGGGTAAAAAATAGATTGTTGGTATAATTAACAGGTCACATATAAGTTTAATGACCTAGACCACCAAAAAAAATACATTAGGGACCTTTTCAACCAAAACCGGATAATTGGTTGGGTTACAGTGACATTAACCCTTCAATCAAACTTGATGGAAATTGTTGGAGAAATCAGATCGGGAAAAGCTGAACTTGACGGCTCTCACCCTATTTCCTCGTATCACCCACTCACTCCCCATCCCCTCACCCTTCGTCTCCCTTTCAACATCGAGATGCAGAAACGAAAACATCCAAAAAACAAAAGAAATTTGGTGACCGGTCCTCAATCTCGTTCTCCTA